AGGAGTGATGGAGAAGGAGGAAACAGGAGGAGAAGGTGGAAAGTGGCCAATTTTGGCTGGATGTCAGGGCAAACTTCTAACAATGAGAACTGTGGCTGCCTCCAGAGGTGATAGGTTCCCCTTCCTTGAAAAGTCTAGGCAACTACTTGGTCAGTTTTAGTGGGGGTCCCTTTGACATGTGAGTTACACTGGATGGCTGCTGAGGTCCCGTCCACCTCTCAATTTCTGTGATTCTGAGTCCAATCACTTTATTTGCAGTTGAGGAACCTGAGGCCCAGGCAGGTTAAGTTACTTGCCTAGCATCACATAGGTAGTAAGTGAAGCAGGAATCAAACACAGGTCTTCCTGACTCCCAAGGTAAGCTCTCACCATCTCTCAATATCCCAAGTGGCAGAGAGGTCAACTCAGATGATTGTGATCACTAGCACTGACTCCCTTGCTGGGGGTGAGGTTGGGCCCTCGGAAACAGCTATCCTGTCTTACTAGCTTGGGGCCCTTCAGCTCCGCCAGCAGAACAGCCCCCTGGGAAGAGGAGGAAGCAGGACTCATTGAGACCTACTCTGAAGAATCTGTCCTTGATGGGTGCCTGTGATTGGCACCATGTCAAATGTGCTGGAGCCTAGGAGAGAGAAGTCTTGACCCCAGAGCAGCCTTCTGCTGCCATACCGATTATCTCCCTTCATGTCTCTGTCAAGGTCACTCAAGGGAGAGATACTTGACCTCCCATTTTGGTGACATCGTATGTGCGCGTTCAATTTAATGTATGCTGCTTGAGCCAAGATAGAGGAGAACAGGAAAATGAAATTGCACTGGAGAGGAATCCTGGCGGCACTGGAGAAGACATTAAAGTGTCTTCTAAGGTGTCTAAAAACATACAACTTGACCCCATGTCCCTTCACCCAGATCTAATGTTCTCTCCACTGTATCATGGTAGATATTTCCTTGTCGGTAAAGGAAGATTATGGGATCACAGACTGAGAGTTGGAAGGGACCTTAGGGACCATCAAAAATCTAATGACCCCCCCATTTTACAGATGAGGAGACTGAGGCTAGCTCAAAGAGGTAAAAATAACTTGGGGGGGGTCACACAACTTGTGTGTGAGGCAGGATTCAGGCCCAGGACTTCTTGACTGCTGTCAAGTTGGCAGCTGGTAACACAGTGGATGGAGAGCTGGGCTTTGAGCTGAGCTCAAATCCCACTTCAGACACTTACTAGCTGTGTGACCCTGGGCAAGTCATTTAACCTGTCTGCCTCCATTTCCTTATCTGTAAAATAGAAATCATAAAGGCACCTACCTCCTGGGGTTGTTGTGAAGCTCAAATGAGATGATAATTGTAAAGCACTAAGCACGGTACCTGGCGCTTAGTAGGTGCTATGTAAATGGCAGTTGTTATTACGGATTATGACTTGCTCACCGAGGTGCCTCCCAGCTTGCAATGCTCTGACAAAGGCAAGTCTAAGCCCTGCGTTCCTCAGTGTGCCCACAGGTCATAGGCCATGACCATCAAAGTGATCCTGGTTTGTAGGTGATTTCCTCACCCCAGCTCTACCTCTTCTCCATCACCACCATCAAATAGGACCTTGGTTAGGCTTCCTGTGCATGGTCCCAGAATTCAATCTGAATAGTAAAGGAAAAGGCTTCCTAACAATTAGAGTTGTTCAGCCATGGAATTGGCTGCCTTGAGAGGCGCCAAGTCTCCTGTCACCGGAGGCCGGATGAGCGCCCTTCGGGATTCCTGTTGAGATACAGGTTGGACTAGATACCCCCTTGGGTTTTTCTGCATCAGAGATTCTGTGATTGTGACTTGCACGGGGAACAAAATGAAGAAACCCAACCAGTCCCACCAGGCCCGCCATGTTAGTACCACTAGAATCAGGGCCTCCTAGACCTAGAACTGGAAAGGATCCTGGCAGCCAATGAATCCACCTCCTTCATTTAACAGATGGGGAAACCGATCCTCACAGAAGCAGAATGACTTGTCTACAATCATATCTAAGATCCTAGAGCTAGAACTAGAAGAGACCTCAGATAGCATCAAGCCCACAACCTTTACATATAGGGAAACTGAGGCCCTGTCCAAGGCTACACAGAATAAACATCAGAGGAAGGATTCGAACCCAGGTTGTTTGACTCCAGGGCCACTGTTGTATTTTTCTCAGAGGCTCTTCCGGGGGAAACCTCAGTGCCTCCTTTAAGGCTGCCACCTCTAAAGGGCCTGTGAATAGGAGTGAGAGAAGGTAGGGAGGCGTGGGCAGTGCAGAGCTGTGGAGCCAGCTGCCTCTGAAGGGGCCTCTTCCCTGTTCTCTGTGTAATTATTCACGGTTGTCAAAGGGCCTGGGGCATTCTGATCTGCTTCTAAGAAGCAAGATGACCAAGTATTTTAATGCCTGCTTGGTTTTTCAGGGCCACACTGTGACCTCCTCTCCTGCAACCAGTGAGAGGGGATTATTCCTTTCCAAGAGAGCTCAGTGATTTAGACCTTGATTATAGGTTGTTGATGTAATTTGGCTGATGGAGGTCAGTGGTGTCAAACAAAGAGCTTGGCTGTGTAACATTAGTAGCCCCCAAGGATGGAGAGCTGGAGAGGAGTGGGTGTTAGCAGTGTTGACGCTCCGGTCACCTAGGAGACGGCATGAAAGCTGGGGGCTTCAAGGCAGCCTGTGAGCTGGCCTCCAGCAGGAGGTGAAGGGCTTGAATGGTCCCCATGGGATGAGGGCCATTCGACAGAAAGCAGAGTTAGCCTCTGCCCTCGGACAGCTTTCTTTCTGATACCTCCCAGCTGCCTGGTCTGCCATGATTTCCACCCCACCCCCAACAGTATCAGCAGTAGCTCTTGAAATCCTGCCTCTAACACTCTCACTACCTGTCTGACTTTGGTGAAGTCATCTGAATATTAAATCATCTGCAAAATTGTTGGGGGGATGGGGACTAGATGGCTTCTAAGAGATCATTTCACCTCCCTAAGCCTCAGTTTCCCCTTCTATAAAATGCAAAGGTTGGATTCTATGCCCTCTGAGGTCCCTTCCAGCTCTAGGAGCTCTGATTGTATGATCTGATGTCTTTCTATATGGATGGTCAGAAACAATGCACCAGTCTACAGGAAAGCAGGGTGAGGATTCCCATTTCCTGGTCTTTACCACCATGCTTCCTTTCCGGTGGGACCAAATAAAGAAGGCAAACAAATGGCCACTGGCCCAAATCTGTTTCAATAATAGCAGAATGGTTCCAAAGCAGGAGCTGCCAGGCATTGGCTCAGAGTTCCTGAGCAGACAAGGTGATGTCTTAGGCACTGTCCCAGAATGCACTGCACTCTGCCTTGTCAAGGAGCTGACACCCCAGGGCAACACAAAACACACACCACACATATCATCGTGTGGATGTTAGAGTCCTCAGCAGAAATGAAGGAAAAGAGATGAGATAATTACTTGTCAAGAGTTCTGTTTATATAGCCCCACTAACATTGAAGCTAACGGCTATCATTAACAGGAGGGAGATCAAAGTTCTTGCCACAGACTGACAGATGGTCCCTGGAAGGCACGCCAACTACATTTTGCACGCCCACACGTCCCAATCTGATGGATAGATACCTTCACTGTCTCTGAGTTGGGCCTCTATAATAAGCAAAGAAGGGGAGAAGAAAACTGAACTCTTTGTAATCTGGAAAAATGAGTCGAACTAAATGAGTTTCTGTCCTAAAGTCTTTTCCATTTCCGGCATTATTCTGTGGTCTTTGTTCTAAGCTCCCTTCTGCTTCTGATACTTTATAATCTTTGTCCCACCCATCTCTGCCATTCCATATTCTAAAGCTCTGCCCCCCCAGCTCTGACCTCCTCTATCCTAAAATCCCTCCCACCACCCCTTCTAGTTCTGACAGTCTTTGTTTTAAATGCCCCTTCCTTCTAGCTTAATATTTTATGGAGTTTCTTCCAGCTCTAAAATTCCATGTGCCATGGCCCTCCAAGCTCAAACACTCTCAGATTGCCTATAATAATTCTTTCATCTTGCCCCTAGGTGTTAGTTCCCATTAAATCTCCCTTCTTTTCTCTCTACCTCGAGGTATAGCAAACCCCCTACCAAAAAAAGTCCACATTGCTCTTACTCTATCTACCCAAGCAAAAAAAATCATTCACCAAAGAGAAAAGGGCTAGGGGGAAGGTGGATGGAGTGGAACATGTACCTTTTAGACTAAAAGTCTAAATGAGTGCACGTCAGGCACATAGTTGACATTTAATAAATGCTTTGTTGACTCGTCGGCTACCCGCTATCTTCCTCCATCCACTGGGAGCTTCAGAGAGCTTAGGTGGTTGATCATGAGAGCGGAAAGAGACCTTAAGAGTCATCTAATGAACGCCACCTCTGCTTTCACACACCCCCCAACCCCTCCCCTCCCCCCACCCACACCATCCCACTTCCTTTTTTGTACAGAAAGACTGGGTTTCCCCTTCCTTTCATCTCCACGGCTTACACACTGAGAAGTGATTTCTAGCGATCACCAAATCGTTTCTTGCTCCCTGTGGAGTTGTTTATTGTAGGTTCTGACCTGTGCTGTTATTGTGAAAAAGGATCAGGAAGACACTGGGCCTTAATTACAGGTGTCAATATGGGGGAATGTTGGCTGAGCCTGAGTCCTTGCCGTGAAATAATGGAAGAGTGGTAATTTTCAATTGTCATCGTTTACTCGTGGGTACTAGTGGTTTTAATGATGAGCAAGCATCTTACAACTGATTACTTTAGCCTCCACAGCAGCTGATTTAATACATTTGTTCATTGTTCTGTCCTCCCCTGCCTTGGATGTTTACACGACTCCTACCAATGCTCTACCATTTTGTTTTAATCATTGGTTTGGATTTCAGTTTTTTTTTTTCCTTGCTGGTCTTTTGTCTCCTTCACTCATCAGGCAGAATTTATCTTTCTGCCCCTCTTGCCTAGAAACAACTCAAGGAGAGACTCTGGAGACACATTAACAGGTCCATCTGCTTCTGTCTTTTGCTCTTCTAGGGAAACAAAAGTACCTGTGTGCCAGCAGGAATGATTGTACCATCGATAAATTCAGAAGGAAAAATTGTCCGTCATGTCGGCTCCGAAAGTGCTATGAAGCAGGGATGACCCTTGGAGGTACGTTCAGAGTCTTTGTTTTTTAGAGTGGATTTTCCGCTCACATAATCCTGAGGAGGAATCAAGGTTCTAGATACAGGCCAGCTTACATGGCCTGGGACACTTTACCTCCTTGCATCCCCACTGAGACTGTCAGGAGCCCCCAAACATGCCACAGAACCCTCTGTGATTGGGTAGACCAATTGAGTAGCAGTAAGCGGCCATCCGGCCACAGATTAGGTTGTCACTAGGAAATCTTAGGGTTACTTGCTTGAGTGGCAGCTTGGGGGTCAAAGGACTAAGGTACACAGTTCTGCTCCAGGCCCTGCCCCAAATTTTGAGGAGCATATAGAAGCTGACACCTTTGACCCAGGCACAATGGAGGGAATAGGGAAGGGCTAAAAGGTTGTCAAGGGTGCACCTGTCACTGACCACTGAAATACAGCCTTATGCCTTACTGCCTGGCCTCTTTAGGTATTTAAGACCTAACACCTGAGGCAACTCAGAGTATAACCCAGTATACAAGACTTCTCCAGGCAAACAGAAAATAGAAAGAAATGCAAAGATACATAATCTATTGGGAACAGCTCTGGATTTGGAGTCAGAAAACCTGGATTTGTATTTAAGCTCTGTCACTCACTCCCTCATTTTCCTCATCTGTAAAATGAGAGGGCTGTACTGTAAGGTCTTTAAGATTCCATCCAGTTCAGAATGCATGCTTTTGTGATCCTGTGCTTGAGGGCAAACCACCCACATAGCTTGATTCCCAGAGCTATACTCTGTTAGCCAGTCAGTACCTGGGTTCTCAGCTTTCCCTTCTCTCAAGGCCCTGAGCTCTTCCAGAAGAGATCTGAGTTCTTCTGGCTTTGATCAGCTGCCAGATATGTATAAGTCTCTGAGCAGAGGAAAGGTTGGAGCCCTTGTTAGGGCTTGAGGCAACGGCTGCCTCTTCTTTGCTCCTGTTGGGCTCCATGCTGCCCATCTTAGCTCTGTCCTGCACAGAGCCTGTAGTCTTAGTTGCCAAATCCACCCAGTAAATTTCCTACTCCACATTATACCCAGAGATAAGCAGGAATTATTGTATTTTCTCTCCCAAGCCATTCATGCAGCACCATTTTCCAAGGGGCTCTGCTGCAGGTCTGTGGCTGGCCAGCTGCTGAGAGGAGCCTAGCTCTTTCACAGGGGGCTTTCCCTTTGCCTTTCCCCAACCCCTAGCCTGGCACCCTCCTGTTCTCTGGCCCAAGCACCAGACCAGAAGATGCCAGCCCAGTTTGCTGATGCTCTGACCAGTGGCAGGGAGGAGAGCTACTTTGAGCTCTAGGCCTCATTTCTACGTGTTTACATCTGCCTGGAACCAGTATCCCTCCCCTCCCCTCCATTCCTCCTTCCCTACCTCCATTCCCCGCCTCCCAGAATGCTGCTTCCTTCAAGGACTTGCATTTTCCATGAGAAAAGCAGGCTCATTAGGCCACTTTGATTTAGAAATCAGAATGGGAGAAAGGCAAACCTATTCCTAGCACCCTGGTACCTTATTAGAGGTGATCAGCCCAGCAAACACAAAGAGCCCTGTGCACAAAGCCTGGTCCTCTCCTCTCCCTCCCTGGGCCTAATTTATAGCAATTACACCTCTCTGGCTGTCCCCTCACCCTCTTTCAGAGAGCTGCCCGTGGCTCGTGTGCCCATGCGCATATCTGCCAGGCCTGCCTTGTTTCCCACCTGCTGCCCATCTCTTCCCCTGCCCTTCTTCCACTCCCACCCTGCTGGCACACACCAAGGCTTTTCGATAATGACAATGACCCATCACACACCCGCTAAGATGACCAGAAGGCGCTTGTCCCACAAGCCAGGCCCTTAGAGGCCCCCAAGAATGGTGTCCCACACTGCTGGCTTCCTCTTCCCATCTTGCAGATGGGGAAATGGAGGCCCAGAGAGGAGAGGAGACACAATTAGGGAAGAAGAGTCAGCACTTGAATTGCAAGTCTTTGTGCTACAATCTGCTGCCCCTGAGAACTTATGAGGCAGAATGTCAGAGTTAGAAGGAACCTTAGAATTTTAGACAGGACAGTTGTCCAATGCAGGGGAGACCCTTGTCTGCGTCCACACACGCACACACTTTGTCTGACTGGGAAAGTAAAGGGGCCTGCCTCCCTTCTCAGAATCTTATTTTTAAATACATAAAAGAAAATATATGATTATAAGGGAAACGAATTGTAATGAAACAGAGCTATCAATTTTTTTTTCATGAAACATGAAATGACATACTCTCTTTAATGAGCCTTTGACACAGAAAGGGAACCTGAAATACAAATGCTTAGTATGAATTGAAGTAGAGATGCAAATTTTTTAGAAACCAAGTCTTTAAGCTAGTTAAGGCTGAGGGCCACTGGGTTTAGACCGTTAGCTTTTGGCTCATCTGATCCTCCCAATAACCCTTGAGGAATCCAAAGCTCAGAGACATTGAAGGACACTTTAAAAACAAAAATCATTGCTTCACTAATGCATAGGGAGAGAATGTTATTGATATCTTTTGTTTTCACATTTCCTTCATTCCTGAATGAAGCCTTCCTCTGCCCAGCCAGACATCCCTTGTAACAAAAAGTGTTGTTTTGGTCTGAACCTGTGATTTCATTGCTACAGGGAAGGCACAGTGAGGGAATGGCTTTGACTAGGGCAGATTGGGCGCCTATGCAGAGACAGACAGTCTTAGAGAACCCTGGGGGAGGAAAGGAAGGAAGGAAGGAGGGAAAGAAGGGAAGAGGGGAGGAAGAAGAGGGAAGGAAGAAAGGAAAGAGGAAAGGAAGAAAGGATAGAGGAAAGGAAGGAAGGAAGAGAAAGGAGGAAGAGGAGGGAAGGAAGGAGGGAGAGAGGAAAAAAGAAAAGAAATGAAGGGAAGAAAGAAAAGGGAGAAGGAAGGAAGGAGGAAAGGAAGAAAGAAAAGAGGAAGGGAAGGAGGGAGGGAGGAAAAGAAGGAAGAAAAGAAAGAAAAAAGAGGGAAAGAAGGAAGGAAGAAAGGGAAGAGGAAGGGGAGAAAGGAAGGAAGGAAAGAGGAAAGGAAGAAAGGGAGGGAGGAACAAAAGGATTTCGTGTGTCCTATGTGCTAGGCATTGTGCTAAGTGCTTTACAATGATTAGCACATTTGATCCTCACAACAACTCTTTGAGGTAGATGCCATTATCATCTCCATTTTATAGATGTGGAAATTGAGGCAGGCGGTAGTAAAGTAACTTCCCCACGGTCCCACAGCCATTCAGCGTGAAGCAAGACTTGAAGCCTAGGTCTTCCTGACTTCCAAGGCCAGCTCCCCATTCACCATCCCATGCTGCCTCTAACAATGATGATTATGAGACCTGTGATGCCATTGGTAGAGAGACGTCCCAGAGAGATAATTCCCTCCACCAGTGCAGTCCTGCCTCTACCTTGGTTGCATCTTTGAGTTTTCGACAGTTGACAGGGGCCCTCAGACACTAAGGTGACTTACCCAGGGTCACACAGCCAGTCAGTGTCAAAGACGAGTAGGGTTTGAATCCAGACCTTCCTGACTTCCAAGGTTGACTCTCTGTCTAACCTTGTCCCATCAGATGCCTCATAACAAAGAATTTTTGGAAAATAACAGTTTAGCAAAACCAATACAACAGCTTTCTATCACAGTCTATGCAACATTAGGTACCCATAGGCCCTCACCTTGGGAAGGAAGAGAGGGAGGTGCTTTTCTCTACCTGTAGAGGTGAAGGTTAAAGAGCCACAGTTGCACAGCTTAATAAGTGTGAGGGGCAGGATCTGAATCTGGGGGGACCTCCTTATTTGAATTCCTTCTTCTGTGGCACCCTTCCTAGCTAGAGCCCCTCTAGTTGGACCCCTTCATTTTGGGGATGAGGAAATGAATAGATCATAGGTTCATTGAACTGGAAAGAACCTTAGAGGTCCTCAGGTCCCACCAGTCCATTTTACAGCTGAGAAAACTGAGGCCAGAAGCATGAAGTGATTTACCCAAGTGGGATTGATCATTCACAGCCCTTCCAGATTTGCTTGGCATCCCTTCCCCACTGCTGTCTGCTAGAGACCAGGCGGTCCCCATTTGCCCCAAACCACAAAAAGGTCACCAAGAACCCAGTCTGAAAAACACACCCGTGTTACAAAGAATTCACGCACTTAGAACTTACTTATCCTCTTGGAGCCAAACGTCCCACCTTCCACAGCCTCCTCCGCTTTCCCCCAAACCAATTTATTATTATTTGCACAGTCAGTGTACGTCAAACATTTACCTTGTGTAAACAAATAAAAAACAAATAGCCAATAGGATGACCCCTTGGACGCTAAAGCAGCCAGCTTCTAGCTTCATGTGGTGTGAATCCAGCCTAGTCATTTTGACCTTTCTCCAAGCTCATTAAAACGATATGCTATGTAATTCTGCGCTGGCCCCCACCCCTGCCTCCAGTCACACTGTGCATTCCAGGGTCAGATCAAAGTAACTTTAGGGTTTTCTCATGTCGTGGAGAATCCAGTTCAGTGACATCCCATAATGTGCTAAATTTGGAGTCAAGAGGACTTTGAATCCGAGGTCAGCTTGTAACCCCCAGGTGACCTTAGTGTAGGGAGTGTTGAACCTGAATTCAGAAATACATGTGTTCAAATCCTTCCTCTGAAGTCAATTGTGTGACCCTGGGTAAGTCCCTTCCTCTCCCTGGGCCTCAGTTTCCTCCTCTGTAAAATTAGAGGATTGAACTTGGTGCCTTCTGATGGCCCTTCTAACTCAAGATCTAAGAGGAGCCTATTGAGTGACCTTGGGCCAATTCCTCTCTGGACCTCAGGGGCAGATTACTATTTTTTCATGAAACCCCCATAAATCAGACCTGTGGACTTGCAGGTAAGTGGCTTGGTCTCCAGGCCTGGAGATAGTAATCTTTGTTCCTACTTCCTTCCTTGTGTGTTTTGGAGACAGAGACTTTGGCTAGGTGGGCTAGGGAACTCCCTGCAAGGAAATTTCCTCTACTCTGTGAAATCAGTAGGCCCAGACTCTTGTA